GTTTCATCTCATCCCACCTGGTATCGTTTCCCCTTTTCCCTCTCTTTCTATTCCTCCACCACCCCTACCCACTTCCTCCCGGCCCCAGGTACGTCCCCATGAAGGCGTGCCTGAATCCCGTGCCGGCCTTCAAAGGAATGCGGGCGGCACAGTGGCCAGCCATGGGCAGGGCGAGGCTGAGGGCCGCGCCTGCTGGCTGACCGCCTCTCTTTTGACTCCCCCCCACCATCCCCACCCCCATTCCTCCCTGCCCCACCAGGTACGTGCCAATGAAGGCGTGCTTGAACCCTGTGCCGGCATTCAAAGGAATGCGGGCGGCACAGTGGCCCGCCATGGGCAGGGCGAGGCTGAGGGTGGTGCCTGCGTGGCTGCAGATGCTCAAACGAGGGGTGTTTGGCGGGCCTGCTGTTGCTGAGATGAAACGCGACCAGGTGAGATGAGATGAAACAAGAACATAGATGGAATGAATTAAAGTGGGATGATATGGGATTAATGAGATTAAGTGGGATGAGGTGGGTTAATATGGGATTGATGAATGAGGCGAGCAGTGGAGCAGACATTCTGAGGCATCATTTATGATACAAATAACCCTTCATCATGTTCTATTTATGCGCGACAACTTGTCAATTCTTACCATTGTGTTGTCTCTTCGTTTCCCCGTCGTCCTCCCTCTCTCCAGATCCACTGGAAGAAGGTTGTTGCCTTCTACGATGCGTCCTTTGGCATTGACTGGAGCACAGTGCGGAACGTCATGGACATGAACGCACACTATGGCGGGTGAGATGTGACGGTATGGAGGGTGAAATACGGTTGCATGGCATATGTAAGCCCCATGCTCTGATTTGAGCTTTTGGTCTAGACTGGAGTGCACTGAGGAACCTACTTTAGAGACATGAACGCACAATTAAGAGACATGAACGCACAATATGGCAGCTGAGCGTGATTGTATGGAGGGTGAGCGTGATTGTATGGAGGGTGCGAGGCATTCACCACATTCTGTGCTGCAAGGCATTCTTACTGACTCCACTACATCCAAACTCTGCCGCCCACCCTTCCCACCCCTCCACACCCCTCCCAGGTTTGCAGCAGAGCTGGCAGTCTCAGAGAAGCCTCTGTGGGTGCTGAACGTGGTGCCCACGAGTGGACCCGACTTGATGCCAACCTTCCATCCCTCCCCACCCATCCCCACCCCTCTCCACCGCTCCAGATTCGCAGCAGAGCTGGCAGTGTCAAAGAAACCCCTGTGGGTTCTAAACGTGGTGCCCACCAGTGGACCCGACTCGCTGCCGATCGTGTTTGAGCGCGGGCTGGTGGGAATCTACCACGACTGGTGCGAGTCGTTCAACTCGTACCCGCGCTCCTACGACCTTCTTCATGCCGACCACACAGTGTCGCAGGAGGTTGGCAGGTGAGAGCAGCACATTAGGATGGGGTGAGAAGTTCAACGAATGGGACACAGTCAACTCGTACCCGCGCTCCTGCGACCTGCTTCACGCCAATCCTACCTCCATTTCCATCCCCACCAGGTGTGGCATCACCTCTGTGCTGCTCGAGATGGGCTGCTTGCTGCGCCCCCACCACTTGCACTGCCCTCACATCCATGTCCTCACATCCTACCTCCTTTTCCATCCCCACCAGGTGTGGCATCACCTCTGTGCTTCTCGAGATGGGCTTTCTGTTTCCTCTTGAGGGGTAGGCGGATTGAGACAAGTGAAGTTGCATATTTTTCCTTGTCCATTGCCCTTCCTTTGCCCATTTTGGTCTCAACACGAACAACCCCACCGCCCCCACCAGGTGCGACATCGCCTCCGTGCTGCCCGAGATGGATCGTCTGCTGCGCCCTGAGGGCTGGGTGGTATTGAGACATGTCAGGATGCACGTTCGGTATTGTCCATCTGTCCCACTCCCACCGCCCCCACCAGGTGCGACATCACCTCTGTACTGCTAGAGATGGATCGTCTGCTGCGCCCCGAGGGATGGGCCATGTTCCGAGACCATGCTCACATGGGGGGGACCATCCGTGCCACCATCCCCCTCCACCCCCACTTCCACCCAATCCCACCACTCCCACCACCCCCACCAATCCCACCAATCCCACCACTCCCACCACTCCCACCACCCCCACCGCTCCCACTGCCCCCACCAGGTGCGACATCACATCTGTGCTGCCCGTAATGGACCGTCTGCTGCGCCCTGAGGGCTGGGCGGTATTGAGACATGTCAGGATGCACGTTCGGTATTGTTCGTCTATCCCACTCCCACCATCCCTGTCCCCACCAGGTGTGACAAACCTCTCTGCTGCTCGAGATGGACCGGCTGCTGCGCCCTGAGGGCTGGGCCGTGTTCTGCGACCATGCTCACATGGGGAGTCCATTTATGCCACCACCCCCCTCCACCCCCACCCGCACCCAACCCCACCACTCCCACCATCCCTGTCCCACCAGGTGTGACATCACATCTGTGTTGCTTGAGATGGACCGTCTGCTGCGTCCAGAGGGCTGGGCTGTGTTCCGAGACCATGCGCGCATGGGGGGTTCCATTCTCAACCTCGCTGCGTCCTTCCGCTGGCGCCTCAAGTTCAACAAGACTGAAGGCGGAGAGGTGCTGCTGGCGTTTCAGAAGGGCTTCTGGCGACCCAAGGAAGAGGCTTGATGCTATAGCGAGGATGGGAGAATCCAGAATAGGTAGGTTTGAGGTTTGACAGATTGACAGTCACCAGAATCTTGGTTGGCTGGTGTTCCGCGACCATGCGCGCATGGGGGGTTCCATTCTCAACCTCGCTGCGTCCTTCCGCTGGCGCCTCAAGTTCAACCAGACTGAAGGCGGAGATGTGCTGCTGGCATTCCAGAAGGGCTTCTGGCGAGCCAAGGAGGAGGCTTGATGCTTGTGCCAGGGGATTGTACCTGCACAAGAGGGTCGTCTACCTAGAGGATTGACTACCATTGAATTGTACCTGCACGAGAGGGTCGACTACCTAGAGGATTGACTTATGCATGAGGATATGGCTTGAGTTTCCGGGAATAAATACATACACACTTTTGCAGGAAATCAAGAGGGCATTTTTATAGTGTGGATCAGGATTTTTGTTCTAGATTAAACATGGAATTTGGAAGAAGGTGCCTATGATTGGGGTTCACTCTAGGTGAGTTGTCCAAAGGGTTAGCACTACAAATGCCCCCAAAAAACACTAGTCCTAATGTGCTTGCCAGATGCACCCTACTAAGATGAATTTGTAACAGTCCGTGTAACCTCCTCGCACGTTGTCGCGAAAGAATATTGCTTTCCTTCGGTTAGGGCGCGCAGGCCAGAAATACGGTTTGGTGAGATCTACTGCATGTTGCAACGGTTGGGTAAGGTTTCGACGGAACCAAGCGCCTGTGATAGTGATTGCTTTGGCAGCTTGCAACGACCAGCAGATCAACAACACCAAAGCAGAAAGCCCACAATTCCGATCAGCTACCATAACTTGGTCCATGGCGGTATGTAGGTTCCTCCAACCGTTTTCCCGCCATTTTCCCGCGCAATCCACTCGTTCCGTAGCTATATTCCCTGCCAGCTGCGCCTGCCGCTGTCACATTCCCTTTCCTGATTGGATTGAACGTTCTTCGACCTCCGTAATTTCAACTACAGACGTTGTCAATACTCGCTACAGTTCTCGCGCTCATAGCGCCACGAGACGAATTCGCGTGAGAGCCGCGGGTATTGAGACTGAGCAGCAGACGCCGAAGTGGGGGGAAACCATGAAGAACTGCCAGGTAGAACGTGCCATGAGCTGGAGTTATAGGAAGCGAGTTTTGCTGTCTTGCGTCTGGTTACAGATTATCTTGGGATCATCGTCACAGAGCCGGCAGCAGGTGCTGCAGGAAAGCTGGGAGTCAGCTGAATGTATCTCTTTTTCAATGTGCTGTCTTGCGTCTGGTTACAGATTATCTTGGGATCATCGTCCCAGAGCCGGCAGCAGGTGCTGCAGGAAAGCTGGGAGTCAACTGAATGTATCTCTTTTTCAATGTGCTGTCTTGCGTCTGGTTACAGATTATCTTGGGATCATCGTCCCAGAGCCGGCAGCAGGTGCTGCAGGAAAGCTGGGAGTCAACTGAATGTATCTCTTTTTCAATGTGCTGTCTTGCGTCTGGTTACAGATTATCTTGGGATCATCGTCACAGAGCCGGCAGCAGGTGCTGCAGGAAATCTGGGAGTCAACTGAATGTATCTCTTTTTCAATGTGCTGTCTTGCGTCTGGTTACAGATTATCTTGGGATCATCGTCCCAGAGCCGGCAGCAGGTGCTGCAGGAAAGCTGGGAGGCAACTGAATGTATCTCTTTTTCAATGTGCTGTCTTGCGTCTGGTTACAGATTATCTTGGGATCATCGTCCCAGAGCCGGCAGCAGGTGCTGCAGGAAATCTGGGAGTCAACTGAATGTATCTCTTTTTCAATGTGCTGTCTTGCGTCTGGTTACAGATTATCTTGGGATCATCGTCCCAGAGCCGGCAGCAGGTGCTGCAGGAAATCTGGGAGTCAACTGAATGTATCTCTTTTTCAATGTGCTGTCTTGCGTCTGGTTACAGATCATCTTGGGATCTTCGTCACAGAGCCGGCAGCAGGTGCTGCAGGAAATCTGGGAGTCAACTGAATGTATCTCTTTTTCAATGTGCTGTCTTGCGTCTGGTTACAGATTATCTTGGGATCATCGTCACAGAGCCGGCAGCAGGTGCTGCAGGAAAGCTGGGAGGCAACTGAATGTTTCTCTTTTTCAATGTGCTGTCTTGCGTCTGGTTACAGATTATCTTGGGATCATCGTCACAGAGCCGGCAGCAGGTGCTGCAGGAAATCTGGGAGTCAACTGAATGTATCTCTTTTTCAATGTGCTGTCTTGCGTCTGGTTACAGATTATCTTGGGATCATCGTCACAGAGCCGGCAGCAGGTGCTGCAGGAAATCTGGGAGTCAACTGAATGTATCTCTTTTTCAATGTGCTGTCTTGCGTCTGGTTACAGATTATCTTGGGATCATCGTCCCAGAGCCGGCAGCAGGTGCTGCAGGAAATCTGGGAGTCAACTGAATGTATCTCTTTTTCAATGTGCTGTCTTGCGTCTGGTTACAGATTATCTTGGGATCATCGTCCCAGAGCCGGCAGCAGGTGCTCCGGGAGATAGGCGTGCCGTTTGAGATCATGGTGGGTGGGTGGTCTGAGAATGATAACAAGTCTTGCACAAAGATGGGAACAATGGCGGCTTGCTCAGTGATTTATGAGATGGCTGGTGGTATCACGGCTTGCGTACCCATCTTTGATCCAGTGATTCATCCAGACGGGTGAAGTGAACTGGTTGAGAGATCGTCCTATCCAGTGATTCCAGCTTTGGATGACTGCTGTTTGAAATGTGGGTGTTTTTGAAGCGTCTCAAAAACACCCTCATTTCACGTGGATGAACTGGTTGAGAGATCATCCTATCCAGTGATTCCAGCTTTGAATGACTGCTGTTTGAATCACTTTTGAGAATCCTCGAAAGCGGTGCCAGCAGATTGCCATTAGTCTTGTCGTGGCTGGTTCCCCCCACACTCACGCAGCTCTTTCTTTCCTGCTCTGTACGTCGTGCTCACTGCTCCTTCTTTGATGCAATTGCGTGCAGAAGCCAGGGATCGACGAGGAGGCCATTAGGAGCGCAGACCCCATCGAGCTCGTCTCCCTCCTCTCTCACGCTAAGGTGAATGAATCATACGTTTCTACAAAAATGCTCGTATTTTAAGTACGAATAGGAGTTTGCTGTAACAAGGCGTGCAACAATGTTACCCGATGCGTGTCACTTAATGATCATGTGCCATGCGTCCCTCCCCATCAGGCAGACGCCCTCCTACCCAAGCTCGAGTTTTGAGTCGACTCAAAACTAGGCTCATCGCACACAGATTTTATGTTGAGAGAAATTTTGTTGCTTGGACGATTGGGTGTAGCTTACTGAAGCTTTTGAGTCGACTCAGAACTAATGATCATGTGCCACGTGTCCCTCCCCATCAGGCAGACGCCCTCCTAGCCAAGCTCGAGGCCGAGGGGCGAACCTTCCCGGAAACTGCGGATGTGCCGACGCTGCTAATTACTGCTGACCAGGTGTGGTTGGAGTGAAATGACCGGATATTGAGTGTGAGAGTGAGTGCGAGAAGTGGGTGAGGGAGTGAGTATGAGAGAAAGTGCGAGAGGGCAAGTGCAAGCGAGTGACAGTGTGTGCGTGGGGGGGGGAGGGGAGGGGGGGTGTGTGGGTGGGGGTTGGGGAGGGGGTTGAATAATAATATTCAACACGTTTCTTCCCACCGTTGTCCGCCACACATGAATATTTGTCGTCCTCCCCTGATCCTCACTCAGAACCTTCTTAATTGTTGAGGCGCCTAAAAGTTCTTTCCCAGATTCTGCCTCCGAACCTTGAGAATTCTCAAAAGGCGAGGTGTCACAAAAGTAGATTCTGCCTCCGAACCTTCTCGCAAAGGCGGTGAACCAACCCTGCTGTAGTGCTGGCCGGCATGAGAGTCAAACTGGACGGTGGAGTGGAGCAATGGGGCTTTGGGGGCCAGCCAGCTCTTGCCTTTACATATGATGATGATGATGATGTACGCCATATCTGCTTATTTTTTTTCGCAGGTGACGGTGCATGAGTTTAGGATTGGATTTTGGAGAAGCTAACGAATCCTGGTGCATGACTTTACAATTGAGCAGCCTTGGTCCTGTACAAATGCAGCTGGTGTTGATGGTTGATGGTTGATGGTTGATGGTTGATTGTTCGTTTCACAGGTGGTGGTGCATGAGGATCGGATTCTCGAAAAGCCCCTGTCCGAAGCTGAGGCTCGGGAGTTCATCCGAGGCTATTCGCGCGCGCCTGCCCGCACTGTAGGGGCAGTTCTCGTAACGAATCTGAACTCGGGCAGGCAGGCAGCAGCAGTGGACGTGGCAGAGGTTCACTTTCGGCCCATTCCAGACGCTGTGGTTGACCAATTGGTGAGAGGGAGTGTGTGTCGCATGGTGAGGAGTGTGCGAGGCCGTGAGAGGGGACTTGTGCCATGAGGAAAAGACCAAGCTGTGGACTGTTGGCAGGCAAGCGGCAGCAGTGGACGTGGCAGAGGTTCACTTCCGACCGATTGCAGACACTTTGGTTGATCAGCTGGTGAGAGGGGACTGGGTATGATTGTGCGAGGAAGTGAATGAATTCGGCGAGGTGTGGCAGCCCAATTGCAGCAGCAGTGGACGTGGCAGAGGTTCACTTCTGACCCATTCCAGACACTGTGATTTGCAAACTGGTGAGAGTGAGTGCGTGTGAGCTGGTGAGTGATAGAACGCCACCTACTATACATGCGATGCCATATTGCCACGCTGCATCCTTGGGCACCTCACTCATTGTACCCCTCTGCATCCCTCTGCATTGCACAACACATTCCTCTTCAGGTGGCAGAGGGCGACATTTTTTACTGCGCTGGAGGGCTGATGGTGGAGCATCCCCTGGTGGCGCCGCTGGTAGAGAAGATGGTGAGATGGGCGCGGGGAAGGAAGAGAGGACTACGATGCAAATGATGAGTCCTTGAATTGAATGATGAGGGGGGGGTAGGAGAGTTGAGGGGGGAGAGGGGAAGAGGTGAGGAATTGAGAACTAAACTGAAACGAGCCACACCAGAAGGAATGGGTGCTTGAATGAAGAGGGTGATGAGAGGAGATGCTGAGATGCAATCAAAACTTGTCCGAGGTTTTGTTCTGTTTCCATTTGTTTTGTTTTGTTTGTCCAACCCCAAGTCCCTGTTTCTCCCTCGCCTTTTGTTTCAGCTTCAATGCTCTTTGTCAATCGTTCCCCATGCTTTTTCTCCAGGTGGGGGGAATCGATGCTGTAATGGGGCTGTCGAAAGCAACAACCGTGGCACTCATGCAGCAGGTCGCATCATGACAACGATTTGACAGGCACTTCAAAAATCATCAATGCAGTCGGGGGGGGCCTCTCAAACAACCGTCAACTTCTGAACCAACTCAACAATCACCCTTCTTGTTACAAAAAAAAATGTAGTGAAGCTAACATATCATTATAAGATAATTTGGCATGTAGTGCATGTATTGAGTGCACTACACATGAGCTTACCGGAGTTTTCACTGCGAACATTGGTACTGGTTCATAGCAATGCCATTAATGCTTTAGCCTGGGTTTGTAATGTGCCCTTTCCCATGCGAGCCAAGAATATTCCTTGTTGCTATTGCGCCAATGCATGTTATGTACAGCAGAATCTAGTGCAGCTGCATTAGAACATCCCCCGCCCCCATTAAAATACATTCACCATTACACCCCATTCACCCACTACCAATGCACCGTCATCCCAGCTGACTTTTGAGGCGCCTCAAAAACCACCCACCATCACCATTACACCCCAATCACCCCACTACCAAGGCACAATAATCCCAGCTGCATCTCAGTCACCCCCCAACTCCTTACTCCACTCCAAGCCTCAGAATTCTTTCAAACCAAACTGCTGCCTGTTGTCTAGTCAACATGACTAGCTAGCCAACATGGATGATCGCCTTGATTTAGTCCGCCGATACCGTTCCTTATGTAGAGCAGCTTCTGATGCGTCTCAATGTCACCTGGTGGTTTATTCTTGATGAGGCCAGGGAACTACCATACGTCATGTGGTGGTCACGTCACGGGTCTTCAGCTGATATGTTGAGAAGCTCTCGAATCCCTTCGACCACCTGCCCACAGCCATGAGCAGCAAAAGATGAAACGCCAGAAAGACTTGAGAGATGAAATGCCTGAAAGAGATGAAACTCCAAGAGGAGTTGAATTGCTCGAAAAAGAAAGCTTGAACGAAGTGAAGACCCGCCAGGGACCTCACGTTTGTTCATCAGCAAACACCAGTGCACGCCAACAGTTTCCTTTTGAGGCGCATCAAAAGTTGCCTCAAAATTGAAGCGCCTTAAAAAGACCCCCAGGAACCTCACGTTTGTTCCTCAGCAACCACCAGTGCTCATCAGCAGATTTAAGTGGGCTTTTATGGATGATATTCTTTCTGTGTGCCACACTCCCTGACTTTTTTAGTCGGCCAACAGTCACACCACCCAACCCAGTTTGAGTACCATAAACCAGCCCAGTCCAACGCAGTCATTGCTCACCAGCTTGATGTGGGCTTTAATGGATAATATTCTTTCTCTGTGCCACACACCCTACTCAGTATGAGTACCGTAAACCAGCCCAGCCCAGCCCAGCCCAGCCCAGTGCTCACCAGCTTGATGTGGGCTTTAATGGACGATATTCTCTCCGTGTGCCGTGCAACTTGCCTGCGGGCACAGACTCAGCAGCTGAGCATGAGACGCCTTAAAAGAATTGACAAACCCTTTTTTTGTTTTTTTGTTTTTTTTGGTTTTTTTCACAAATTACTGGAAGATGGGCACGGGGAGGGCAGCTGAGGAAGCGGCAGACGGATGAAGGGGGGTTCTTTCATGAAAGAGAATGGGGTTTTGAGACGTGTCAAAACACGTTTTGAGACGCCTCAAAGTGGCAGACAGATGAAGGGGGTGGGGTTTGGGGGCTTGGTTATGGGAAAATACATCGAAGGGGATGGTGGGTGAGGGATGGGGGCAGGGAGATGTGGCGAGTTTTGAGTCGACTCAAAACACGGCGGGTGAGGGATGGGGGCAGGGAGATATGGGGGAAAATAGAGGAGAGAATATTTTGTTCCTATGTCAAGACGAGTGAAAGAGCTGGGAAAGATAGAATGGAAAGGAACTTTAAATAAAAGGACGTTTGTGATTATAAATCATTTGCCGCTGCCGTATGCACTGCCACCACCGCCACTCACTTTCTCAAGTGCTCGATCTTGGAGGCAGCGAACTCCTTGGCTTCAAGGCGTGTGAACTCCACGTGGAAGCCCAGCCCCACTGAGACAAATATGTGTGACGTGTCCGGGCTGCAGTCAATGGGAGTCAACGGGAGTCAACAGGGTTAACAGCATCTTCAGAGCCAAGTCAAGAATCAAGGGGGGTGAACTCCACGTGGAAGCCCAGCCCCACCGTGTCACGAATATGTGCGATGTGTCAGGCCTGCGGTCAATGGGAGTCAACGAGAGTCAACAATGCAAACATGGTCAACATGGTCAACATGGTCAACAGCATCCTTGGCTTCAAGGCGGGTGAACTCCACGTGGAAGCCCAGCCCCAATGAGAGGAATATGCGCGACGTGTCCGGGCTGTGGTCAATGGGAGGAAAAAAAAACAAGCAGTGAAATATGTGGAAGCCGGGTGAACCTCACGTGGAATCACAGCCCTACTGAGACGAATATGTGCTAAGTGTCCGGGCTGGGGTCAATGGGAGTCAACGGGAGTCAACAGAGCAACAGCATCTTCAGAATGAAGAGTCAAGGAGGGTCAATTCCAGGTGGAAGCTCATCCCTCCCCAGTGACAGAGATATGTGGGACGTGCCTGGCATTTTTTTTCGATGGGAGTCAACGAGGTCAATGGCAGTCAACGAGGTCAATGGGAGTCAACGAGGTCAATGGCAGTCAACGAGGTCAATGGGAGTCAACGAGGTCAATGGGAGTCAACGAGGTCAATGGGAGTCAACGAGGTCAATGGGAGTCAACAAATTCAAAGGCATCTTCAGATTCAAGCCAGTACACTCTACATAGTTTTTTTTTTGGGGGGTTGGCTTGTACGAGTACACTCTACATGGTGCCCAGCACTAATGAGACAATGGTCGTCCACGAGAGTCAATGGAGTCAATGTGAAAGCCCAGCCTTAATGAGGGAGCTAAAATGGGTAGTGAACGAGAGTCTGGTCTGGGGTCGGCAGAGTCAAGACGGTTGCATCCATGTGCAGGCCCAGCCCTGATGAGAGAGACAATGGGTAGTGAACGTGAGTCTCGGGTCAGCAGAGTTTCTGGGGTCAGCACGGTTGAGTCCATGTGCAGGCCCAGCCCTCATGAGAGAGACAATGGAAGCCTTTCGTCTCTCAACGCACATTCCCCCACACCCACACACTCACACATTCCCCCACACACTCACACGTCTGCCTGCACAAACGCCTCTCCTCCCCGGTTGACCATCTCTCTCATCTCCTCTTCTCCTGGAACTAGACGTACTCTTCTGTACACCTTCTCAACCCATCTGTACACCTCTCACCCCCACACCCACCACTCACACGTCCGCCTGCACAAACACCTCTCCCCCCACACCCACCACTCACACGTCCGCCTGCACGAACACCTCTCCCCCCCACACCCACCACTCACACGTCCGCCTGCACAAACACCTCTCCCCCCACACCCACCACTCACACGTCCGCCTGCACGAACACCTCTCCCCCCCACACCCACCACTCACACGTCCGCCTGCACAAACACCTCTCCCCCCACACCCACCACTCACACGTCCGCCTGCACGAACACCTCTCCCCCCCACACCCACCACTCACACGTCCGCCTGCACAAACACCTCTCCCCCCACACCCACCACTCACACGTCCGCCTGCACGAACACCTCTCCCCCCCACACCCACCACTCACACGTCCGCCTGCACGAACACCTCTCCCCCCCACACCCACCACTCACACGTCCGCCTGCACGAACACCTCTCCCCCCACACCCACCACTCACACGTCCGCCTGCACGAACACCTCTCCCCCCCACACCCACCACTCACACGTCCGCCTGCACGAACACCTCTCCCCCCACACCCACCACTCACACGTCCGCCTGCACGAACACCTCTCCCCCCACACCCACCACTCACACGTCCGCCTGCACGAACACCTCTCCCCCCACCACCCACCACTCACACGTCCGCCTGCACGAACACCTCTCCCCCCCACACCCACCACTCACACGTCCGCCTGCACGAACACCTCTCCCCCCAGGTTGACCATCGCTCTCGTCTCCTCCACTCCATTCTCGTCCAGCGCCTCGATATTGCGCACCAGCTCCTCACTGTAACGAGGATAAAACGAGGGAAGAAAATACTGAGGACGAATTGAGTATGATATGAGGGGAATAAGGCAAATACGTGAAAAAAAAAGGTTCAAGAATAAGGCTTGAGGCATATTAAAAAGGCAATACGTCATGTTATGGTGTATACACAGTAGACAATGCAATCCTGAAAAGAGAACAAATTGGCAGGGCAGGGAAGGGCGGACAGGGGGAGGGGCGAGAGAGGGGGAAGAGGTGGAAAGGGGAGGGAGGGGAAGAGAGAGCGTACTATACTTGGATTTCTTCCTGGACCTTGTGCCTGCAGACACCGCCATACACTCTCTCTCACACACAGACACACACGCACACACACACTCACACGCATTCACATGCGCGCACACACACACACGAGCAATCACACTCACACACACATTCTCACATGCACAAACAAATGCATGCACAGCACACATGCATTCACAAACCCACATGTATTGTCGCATCAAACATAGGCACCAAATCGGCAGAGAATGAGACAGGAAGTGTTCTGAGTCGACTCAAAACACACCAAACCGGCAAAGGATGAGATGAGACAGGAACAGCCCATCAGGTCTCCGCGCTAAAAGGGGCAGAATCACACACAGACTATCTAGCCTATCACATCACACAGATGAAACGCGACTTCGCCAATCGAGCCTCGTTCTGCGACATCTGGTGCGCCTTCTCATTTAATTATCAAACCCTAAACCCGAGTAAGCGGGGTGACATCTGAACACAGCGATGGCCGGCGAATCAGACAAGGATGCTCGTCAAAGGTTGACTGGTACCAGCTTGTTCCCCCCCTTCTGAGGCGCTTCAAAAACTTTTGAGGCGCCACAAGGATGCTCGTCAGCGAATCAGACAAGGATGCCCGTCAAATGTTGACTGATACCAGCTTGTTCCCCCCTTCCCTCGCTACCTCCTTCCTTCCTCCCCTACCTTCTCAGCCATTTATCTATGTCTAAGCGGCAGCAATGGCACACAGACACGCACACGCGCACCTGTCTTCCATCGCTGCCTGTAAATCCACCTTCTACCGCTCCTCCACGAATCGCTCATACTCCCTCACCTTCGCCCCCATGTCCCCGTTTTAACTGTCTCGGTATAACACACGCACCTATCTTCCATCGCTGCCTGTAAATCCACTTTCAGCCGCTCCTCCACGAATCGTTCGTACTCCGCCACTTTCGCCGCGGTTCCATCGCTGTCCCTCCCCATCGCGCTCGTGCTGACGTCAGCACTCCTGCTCTTGCTGCTGTCGTCGGCGATCAGTCGCGCGCTGACGTCAGATGCCTGCTGACCGAGTCGCGATCGTCGATAGGTAGTGCTCTTAGCTGCCGGCATCATCTGCTAGTTACTTGCTGGACTATTTATTCGCGATAGTGAGTGAGTCGGTATGAAAGCAGTGGTGCCAGGACAGGTTTCTGAAGTGGAGCGAATACGTATGTGAATTGTTCCTTCACTGTACCATCAGGCAACAGTGTGGTGCACCTGTTCTCAGGGGGAGAAGCGGGACAAGTGGTGCAGGAAGAGGAGACGACTGATTGTTACACCAGGGGGTTATAGCGAATGGTATTGGTCGGGGGTTACTTCTCTTTCGCCAATAGATCAGAAAGCTTTCCGCCGAAACAACCTGGTCTGCCTTCAGGTGAGATTTTGTGGCTCTGCTGGCCCTGCGATTGAATGCCAAGTGTTACTCTGCTTTGCACGGAGTCGTAGCACGTCGCTTTCATAGGAAGATTTCGCCCCTGGTCGCCTGGGCTTTCGTGACAGACGGCAAAAGGTCGTCATCGAAACCCAGAGAGATTCGCTGATTTCGTTTACGCTGTTCGCCACTGTTGGTGGAAATCTCAAGGTCGCAAACTGAGGAATCACCGTCCTCTTGAAACTTCAGATTCTCTTTGACCCAATTGGCTCCAAAAGCTCAGCTAACTTGGCTCCTCATTTCTTCGCCTCTCATTCCCTGTGGCCTGTGGTGGTGTGGATCCTTTTTGGACCCCCTTCGCGAGCCCACCCACTCAGGAAAAGAGGAGAACCCTTGGCGAAAATACAAGTGCTGGATCTATCTTCCCCCACAGAGTGCTATCTCCACCTCTCATAACGTGCAGATTATTCTGGATTCCGAGACGTCTCAAAGGTTTCACCAAGCTTGTCTCTCGTGCAGCTGTAAATATCACGTCAATGAGACCTTAGCTGTCACAACGATTTCGAGACGTCTCAAAACTCACTGATACCACCGCCTCCGAGATTCATTTCAAAAGAACAATACTGCGTGCTGTACGTTCTATAGCATCTTTTATCATACATATTCGTTGTAGAATTTATACGAATAATGTCCAATCCGAGTAATTCCGAGCAGCGAGTTATGCTAGGCAAAGCTCAAATACCGGCGGAATTAACGGGATCCCGCCCGTCTCCCAGTCCGGTGGAGCACAGCTTAATCCCAAACGAGGAGAAGCGGGAGGCCGACGGCGACTGCAGTGGCAGTGACGATGACGTGGAAAGCGAGGAGGATGACGTGTATGTTCGTCACCGCCATAAACAGCCTCGTCGCTCGATCCTATCGGGGCGGCTCGGGACGTTCGCTGCGATGGTCATGGCCGTCGCGTTTTTCTCAGGTCAGCCGGCCAGCGTGCCTGCTCAGCCTATTCCTTAACGACAACTAACCCATGATGCCGTGAGTGGCATTCCGAGCACATGCCGGTCCCCGACTTGGCTGTTCGCCGCGGATGGTCATGGCCGCCGTCGCGTTTTTCTCAGGTCAGCGTCTTTCCTGCTCAGCCTACACCCCAAAGTCCTCTAAACCGTGCTGCAATTATGATGCCGTGAGCGGAATTCTGCGCGCACAACGCATGCCTGCAAGCCGGACCGGGCCAATCCCGGGGACAGCCATGGCCGTAGCTGTCTTCTCAGGTCGGCTCGCACTCTTTGGACGATCGAGCCATCCCCGCTCCACTTTCCCCCCATCCCCTCCCTGTTTCCCCCCATTCCCCCTTCGCGCTACCCTTCACATTCCCTGCATCCACCCCGCATCCCATTCCCTTCCTTCCACACATCCCTTCCAGTCGTCCGGGGCTTCGCCTTAGCCATCTTTCTCACCTCCCACGCGCGCGCCTCCGCTACTCCCCCTCACATCCCATCCCTCCCTTCCAGTCGTCCTGGGGTTCGCCCTCGCCATTTTCCTCACATCCCACTCGCGTGCCTCCTGCTCCTCCGCGTTTAAAGGAGGGGGGAAGCCTTCCGCCCGCCCCCGTTCCCCTGCCCTTCACATATTTCCCCTCTTCTCCCATTCCATCCCATCCCACCCCTCTCCATCCCTCCCTCCTTCCAGTCGTCCTGGGGTTCGCTCTCGCCATCTTCCTCACATCCCACACCCCGCGTTGGACCTAGCAGGAAGCCACCCAACCATTCATTACCACTCTCCCATCCCATCCCACCGCACTCCACCCCTCTCTCCAGTCGTCCTGGGGTTCGCCCTCGCCATCTTCCTCACGTCCCACAGCCCGCGTTGGACATACGAGGAAGCCACCCCCCCATTCCTTACTTCTCACACAGTTCCCCTCTTCTCCCATCCCATCCCATTCAATCCCATCCCATCCCTCTCCACCCTCCTTCCAGTCGTTTTGGGCTTCGCTCTCGCCATCTTCCTCACATCCCACACTTCGCGTTGGACATAGCAGGAAGCAATTCGACCACTCCTTACCACTCTCCCATCCCATCCCACCCCACTCCACCCCTCTCTCCAGTGGTCCTAGGGTTCGCTCTCGCCATCTTCCTCACGTCCCACTCGCACGCCTCCTGCTCCTCCGCGTTTGACGGAGGGGGGGACCCTCCGCCTTCCCCCACAGGCGCGCTGGGCGGGCAGCCCACGGTGATCCTCGTGTCCTTTGATGGGTTCAGGCACGGGTACCACCTGAAAGCCGACACACCGAATCTGAATAGGTATGGGGGCACTTGTGGGAAATGTGGCAAGTGTGGAAGGGCAGGCAAGGGAGGGCAGCCCACGGTGAAGTAATCCTCGTGTGCTTTGATGGGTTCAGGCACGGGTACCACCTGAAGGCCGACACACCGAATCTGAATAGGTAGGCAGGTGTGGGGCGGGGGCAGGTATGGGATGGGCCCTCCGCCGCCCTCTCCCACAGGTGCACTGGGCGGGCAGCCCACGGTGAGGTACTCCTCGTGTGCTTTGAAGGGTTCAGACACGGGTACCGCCTGAAAGCTGACACACCAAATCTAAATAGGTTGGTAGGGATTGGGGGCAGGCATGGGAAGGCAGGCATGGGAAGGTAGGCATGGGAAGACAGGCATGGGAAGGTAGGCATGGGAAGACAGGCATGGGAAGTTAGGCATGGGAAGACAGTCATGGGAAGGTAGGCATGGGAAGACAGGCATGGGAAGGTAGGCATGGGAAGGTAGGCATGGGAAGGCAGGCATGGGATGGCAGGCATGGGATGGCAGGCATGGGATGGCAGGCATGGGATGGCAGGCATGGGATGGGAGGGCATGAGATGCATGCTCCTGTCTGCTGAGCACAGTACAGTGCCAGCCCTCCCTTCCCAAGCATGGGCACATATGGTAGGTGACACAACCGCGTCCTTCCTCCTCCTCTCTCCCCCTCCTCCTTACCCCACCACCCTTTTCTATCTGTTCTTGTATCCGCCCTTGAAAATGCTGACAGTTGCGCCTCTCCCCTCCTTCCGTCTCTACCCCCCTTATTCCACCCACCCATTAGGATGCTAGCAGAGCCTACATTCGCAGAGCACGGTATGCTGCCGGTGTTCCCCTCGCTCATCTTCCCCTCGCTCACCTTCCCCGGGCTCACCTTCCCCTCGCTCATCTTCCCCTCGCTCACCTTCCCCTCGCTCATCTTCCCCTCGCTCACCTTCCCCTCGCTCACCTTCCCCTCGCTCACCTTCCCCTCGCTCACCTTCCCCTCGCGCACCTTCCCCTCGCTCAACTTCCCGTCGCTCACCTTCCCCTCGCTCATCTTCCCCTCGCACCACTCCATGGCCACGAGCCTGCTCCCCTGCAACCCCCTCTCTACCACCAAACAGGATGCTGGCAGAAGGGACATTTGCCGTGCATGGCATGCTGCCCGTCTTCCCCTCGCTCACCTTCCCCTCGCTCACCTTCCCCTCGCACCACTCCATGGCCACAAGCCTGCTCCCCTGCAACCCCCTCTCTACCACCAAACAGGATGCTGGCAGAAGGGACATTCGCCGAGCATGGCATGCTGCCCGTCTTCCCGTCACTCACCTTCCCCTCGCTCACCTTCCCCTCACACCACTCCATGGCCATGGGTCTGCTGCCCGCCTGTCCCTCTCTTGTTTGTATTATCCCTCAGGATGTTGGAAGAGGGAACATTCGCAGAGCATGGCATGCTGCCCGTATTCCCCTCGCTCACCTTTCCCTCGCACTACTCCATGGCCACGGGACTCCTGCCTGCCTCGCACGGCATTCTGGCCAACAAGTTCCGAAACCCCGCCAACCACAGCGATGTGTTCAACCTTGGCAATGTCGAGCCCAGATGGTGGCTGGGCGAACCCATCTGGACCACTGTGAACCGACAGGTGAGGTGAAGGGAGGCGCGGGGGAGGGGAAGGAAGGCGAGGGGTAGGGAGGGGAGGGAAGGGAGGGGAGGGGAAGGGAGGGGAGGGGAAGGGAAGGGAGGGGAAGGGAAGGGAGGGGAGGGGAAGGGAGGGGAAGGGAAGGAG